TGTCGACCACTCCACTCATTTAGGAAGTGTTGTATCATTCCTAAAGGATTGATTACTGCAAAATTTCGGCACGGATACAGAAGGGTCGTTTCGTATATGCCAGTCTATGCCGTCTCTGACGTAGACGTAATATCCGGTTGGCTATCGACCAAAGGGTGTGTGTACTGCTCAGCAGTCCTCTCCTTCCTCCTTTTTGACTGTAAGTGAGACATGGCCATTGAAAGTGGAAGACATGAAAAGGCCGACTAGCTGTCTTCGATCGCAGGTGTCTGCAATCCATCTCCCGCAAGAAGTTGTATAGTATGGTGAACAATAGTGAGGTTAGGCATCGGTTGACTGCTAGATGAGAAAGGTAAATCAATAGACGAGGCTGTGAAGTTAAATCGACTGAGATGGTTAGGACATGTGTTACGTATGCCTAGCCATCGCCTTCCTCGACGGGTAATGTTAGCTGACATAGGGTCAGGCTGGAAAAGAGATAGCCAGTGGTGGTTATCAAACCAAAAAATGGTTTCATCAGTCAATGAAATCTACAACAGTTAGTTTAAGCCAGCAACGTAGGCGGAGATGTAGACTTCCTGGTTCGTTGGGGTCCTCGGGATCGTAAAAACCAATGAAGACTGGAGATAATCGGTGACTTGGCTCAAAATAACCGTTCTCAATGGCTGACGCAGATGCATTCACTCCCTGTGACTTATAATATCCAATAAAACGCTATTGTTCTTCCACATTACTATTATTTTTGCCTTACACTTTGTTTATTATCTCTCTTCTCTTACTCTGTGTGCAGCATGGAGTGTGACAATTCAAACTGTTACACATCGGTGCAAAGTTCTACGTTGAAACCAGTCATTCAGGCATGTTTTACGCCATGTAGAGTTGTAAAAAATATACGCGCATAACATCGATATAGGTTGAGTTTTTTTGAAATTCGTCTTGTAGTGACTAGTTTTCAGTTGTATATGCTAGTCGATAATTCTATTTGTCGAGACGACTCTGATCAGTTTGTTTTTACGGAGATTAGAGTTTCAAATTCAAGAGTATCACTAATTTTCCTTAACCATAGTACTAAGTTTATTCGGGATACAAAATGTGACTGAAATGAATGAATGCACAGTGTATGCATACAGTAAAGAATTCCCTCCACCTTGAAATATGTATATAATCAGTTTAACTTATGCTGTGTAGCATAGTTAAGTGGAAGGTCTCCCTCAGTTCCTGAAACAGCTTTTGTTTCCATGTGTTCCAAGACTTCGATGCACAAAATTATTGTGTAAAGGTTAATAATGCCACTCCCCAACTGTCTTTCAGGCTGAATTAAATACAGGGTGAGAGAGAGAGAGAATCGAATCCGGAACCCAGTGCTGGCTGAAAGTTTTTATTTCTACAAGGGTCAGTGAAATGCAAAAGAACTAAGATGATATTGGATAGCTAAGGGAGCAGTATAAAAATGAGGCGTTGATTGTGTTTCTCTCCTTGTGGACTCTAGAAGATCTGGATATCGTGGAGGATTTATGCCTAGTGTCACACAAACTCAAAAGTCTGTCTGTTTTCGACATAGAACTTTGCACCGATGTGCGGCAGTTCAAGTCGCCACACTCCTTCCTTGTAGCGCACAAAGCAAGAGAAGAAAGTAGAAGAAATGCACAATAGAGACAGTAAACAGAGGTGTGAGACAAAGGAAGAATAACAACGAAGAACAAAACAGTTTCATTTGAAATTATAAGTCACAAGGAGTGGATGCATCTCTGCCATCACTGAAAACGCTTTTGAGCCATATCACCAATTGTTTCCAACCATTGGTTTTTACCGTCCCGAGGACCCCAACTAGTCAGGAAGTCTACACCTTCCTACGTGGTTTAAAATAACTGTTGTGGATTTCATTGAGTAATTAGGCCATGTTTTGGCTGATGGTAATTCTCGAATAAGTGAAGCAGTCAACGTGCTCTACCACTTCACTCCCTATTTCCAGTCCTGTAAAATCATTTTGCCTTTGGTGGGATCGAATCGCATGCCAAACTTTCGTAGATTGCAGCTCAAGATGTTTAGAAGACGCTGTATTTTGTGGGCGTCTTTGCCGACAGAAAGATCTACAAGTGAAAGCCAACAGGTTAAAAGAAGGAACAGTGAAGTCAAGGCTTCAAGTGAGCATAGAAGAGATGGAGACGGTGAAGATAACCAACCGACAAAAACGACAAATTCTAATCACTATCAATAGAAGACATCTGAAAGGGAGGTTACTTGTTATAACATCAATGAACTGAAATAACCCTATCAGCAATTTGTTATAACTGCGCTGAACTCAATGAGAACCCTAGTCACTGTCTTATGTTTGAACCTGGCAATATGCCTATTTTCCCGTTTTACCTTCTGATTCTCTGAGCCATGCAAATATCAAAAGATAAAAACTGTCTGGCCTGTGACTGTATGCTGCAATGGCAACAACAAACACGGTATTTATGCATTTTCACAACAATAAAGCCGTCTAACAGTGCTTGGAATAATTGATCGCAAAATCAGTCAAAATATGCGTGAGAAATGATGATATACTATTTTATGCGGGATCCTATCACCCCCCACGCCTTAAAAAGTGTACGACTGTCTTTTGGATCTGCTTGGAGAAGTTTTGATTTTTTTCCCGCAAATTTCTTTTCAAGATATCTCTCACTGTCCCCTCCCCTCCCCCATTTGTTCTCATGAAAGCATGCCTAGAGGCATCGAAAAACCCTTCATCTTGTCCATAGGATTGGGGGTAATGCCGAATTCGACGTGTAGGACGGAAAGCTGGCTTAACGCTGGGCTGCAGAGCCGAAGACTGAAGGATACTTTTGGCATGAGTATTGCAGCCGGCGTGTATTCGAAGCGTAACTTGAAAAGATGATATCATTTGATGAAGGTGACATATTAAAGCATACCGAATTTAATAGAACATTTGAGAGATTGAGCTTTTCTAACTAGTCAAGACCGAGTAAATTCAAATCATGGTGGTTTGTGAGATAACATACACCACTGAATTGATACTCACCAAACTGAACATGGCAGTTGATCTCACCCATGAGTTTTAGGTCATCTCCAGAAGCCTCCTCAGAGATTTGCTCAGTCAGAAGAATCTGTGGGTACCCAAGTGTGCACGACGTGTTGCGCCAGATTAGGGTAATATCTGATGCTCTATGCAACTGAAGACGAATAAGTATACTGTTAATAGATATGGTAAGATACTTTCATCTACTGGCAAAATCGACTTTGGGCGTTGCGAAAATAGTTTCTATCCGAGGGGGAAGTTGTTTCAGCTTGTAAGGAAACGTCCCGTTCCTCACCGAAGAATCTTTCTGTGGTGGACAGTAACCCTCTTTATGCCCAAAACGGTGACACTTGCTACATTTATGTTTCTTGAAAGGACAAAACTTAACAAAATACCAGGAACCACAGTACCAGCGCACACTGATGGAAAGTTTAGCTGAATTTTGAGACTGACGTGATTAACTGTATCCCCTTTACGGTGATCGGAGGAGTTTTCACTGTGTTAATTGAACTAAATTCAGACGACTGTGGTTTGCACTCCACCATAACAGTGTCGTGCTTCAAGTTGATTAAGCGTTGGCATTCTGTTGTCACTATTTGTGAAGTCATTTTTGGGTCTTGTCCCACGAGTGACAGAAGAGGAGTTCTTATGTTAGCATCTTCTGGGTTCTGCAAAAACCACAAATAAAAATCAAACACTTGAACTGGTCTGATGTCATTTCGTGTGTTTCGTGCGGGATCCTATCATTACTTCCTTCACTTGTCTAGGCAATCGGCATTTTTCCAGCTGCAGGTAGCCCCCTACAGATGAAGGTGTCAAAACCAGAGTCGGAAAGGCGAGGCAGAACTTCGTCACCTTGATTTCAGTTTGGAAATCTTCTCCACTCCTCCGCAGAATAAAGAACAAAACTTGGATTTCCAATACCACTGTCCAACAGACTAGTATGGACTTTTATCAACAGCTGCTTCCTGTCCCTAATAAAGATTAAGTGATCGTCCAGAAAGAATTAATAACAAGGGAATCCGACAGCAAACCACCCAATAAAAATGCTGAAGCAAATGGGGATGGATTAGACAAGTGCTAAGGAGATCGTCGAATGACGCTACGCACCACGCCATCACTCGAGTGGAACCCGAATGTAGGACAACGAGTTGAGTGTGTCTCCAAGGGTGACATGAAGGATATTCTACGAGGAGGAGATCAGAGACTATGGGCCTTCGTGCCCCAGCTAAACAGGAACTCAGATATAATGGGAAAAAGTGGAGATATGCTGTTGAAACCCTATATTCCACTCGGAACCTAAGAGAACAATCATAATCTGATAAAGGTTTAAAGCAACTAGTTCCCTTTATGAATTTCGACAACACAATAAGAAGACGTAGTTTATCTGAAACGTGTAATGTATTGGAGCAACACATTTCGGACGTTCTGATCACACACGTACTTGTCATACACAGTTTTAATAGAAGGCATGAATAATTACAATGTAGGTCAGATTGTGTACAGGTCAAGGTCACAAATAATAGGTAGAGAAGCCCCCTAGGTCCATTGTTAGCTGATATATATATGTCGCATGTTGAGAACCTAGTGGAGAAAGAAATTGGAAAAGTTTATTTCTATAAAAGTTATGTAGATGACATAATTGTCATTTGTGATTAAACCGATGGACGCCATAGAAATCCTAAACCAGATCGACAGAGCACAAAATATTATATCGCTAACTTATGTTAAAGAGAATAATGGTTGCCTTCCATTTTTAGATGTACTCATAACCCGCCGAGAAGATGGGTCAGTAAAACGATCTGTCTACAGAAAGTCAACATGGATGGGACAGTATCTAAATTATCATAGTTTCTGTCCACTACAGTATAAAAAGGCTTTGGTTAATAGTTTGTTCAAGTGCATTCAATAATAATAATAATAATAATTGCTTTATTCCAAAAACAGTACTCATGATACAGCAAGGAATTTTCAGCATTCAGTACAATAGATGACTAGCTATTAAAGGAGAATGGGCCTGAGCAATAGGTGAACTGCTACCATTAGCCGATGGCATCACCCTGAGGATAGTAGTTCCTCGAGAACTAAGAACTTTTACGTTAGGATTTGCGGTGATTGAAACTGAAGGAGGATTGCTGAAAGTCTCTTGGGGTTTTAGAGAGGCTGGCGCAATGCCTGCATTTATGAGTGCACTGAGTATTATATCATTCTGAGAAGTAGTGGCAACTTCATTAGGCGGTTTAGTTATAGTTGGTGCTGAAATAACCTTTATACCAGCATTCGTGAAAGTCTCATTAAATCCAGGCTTTACGTGGTCATCCGCGACATTAACCGAAGCATTTAGATTACTGGAAGGTTCTTCAACGTCTGCGTCAAAATCCTTAGTAGCAAGACCTTTAAGTGCATCCTCGAAAATAGAGACAGGATCCACTTCAACTCGCATCTCACGTAAGCACTGACAAGACCAGACGTGAGCCTTGCCGCCGTCACCGTAAATGTACCGCTGATACAACTGAAGAAGAAAGACAACACCACACTGAAATACTCTTAGATAACAAATACCCACTGAGATTTATTAGACGTGATGGGAGTGTCAACCATAGAGCTTTACCAATCCAATCAGCTCCCCCAAAAAACGATGTTTACATATCCTTGCCGTTCAGAGGTGATCAACAAAGTCTGGTCACTAGACAAAGACTGAAAGCCACAATTAATAAAACCTATTTTGCAGCTAAACTTATCTTCATAGAGAAAACGAGAATCATGCTGTCTTGTAAACCCTCACATTATCCGAACGAGAGTGTCACATCCCACTGTGTTTATCAATTTACATGTATGTGTGGAGATACGTACATAGGGAGGAACCATCGATCTCTGCAGGTTAGGGCTACAGAACACATTCTAAAGTGGCTGAAACAACAAACAAAATCGCCAGACACAATTGACCCCGGAAATATATGTCCAACATCATCTATAGTGAAGCATATTATAGAGACAGGTCACAACGTTGATTTCAACAATGCCTTTAAACCGATATATAAAACAAGGTTGGGCCACATACTTAAATTCATTGAAGCCTTAGCCATAAAAAGACTTAAACCTGTCTTATGCGTCCAAAAGCAATTTTTATCACCTTAAACCTGCCTTGGTAATCCAAGTAAGAACCAAGGACCAATTTACTTCATAATATTTTCAACCCCTTCTTTGCGTTGTTTTTTCTCTATTTATCTTTCTCATCCACGCCTTTTGCGTCTCCCTACCCATTATTTTTAACCTTGACCTGTACACAATCTGACCTGTATTGTAATTATTCATGCCTTCTTGCCTTCTATAAAAACTGTGTATGACAAGTACTGGTGTGTGTGATCAGAACGTCCGAAATGTGTTGCGCCAATACATTACACGTTTCAGATAAACTACGTCTTCTTATTGTGTTGTTGTAATAAAAGTTTGTTCTCCATTGGGGCATATAGGGCTTCACAATTTTAAGTCTATGAAGTATCAGTGGTCTTATGGGTTGGGGTTGTTAACCTCACACTAAACCTTCCCTTTTCTTGGGGGGAGAGTTCGTCAGGTAGGGGATGTCGAATAGTATGCCGTCCGGGAATTGAACCAACTGACTGGGGTGGCAGGGAAGCATTCCACCACTGCAACAAACTAAAAATATAAAGATGCAGTCGCTAAAGAAGCATCTAAGGAATCAGGACAATATGAACAAAACCCTAACATATGCGAATCATGTAGAACATTTCCACTAATATATATGATGAATTCATCCAGTTTCGGTAGACTTCCTCAACTGAATACTCTACATACAGTGTTGTGTGTACTGCAACAAATATGTAGTGAGCTAATCTTACGAAGCAATGCGGAAAATAGTTTACAGGTAAAATTCAGACAGTCTGGGGGTGGGATGGGCATGAGAGATGAAACATGAAAATTAAAACAGTCTACCGTTCGGCGACGTCACTATGACACACAATTAGGTACCAGAGAAGGTACTTGTGAATGTCAAGGATAGCAAAATGAATAACCATAGTAGAAATAGTCAAGATAATTGTGTTGTCTGCCAGAAAGAGATAGGATCAAATAGTGGTGGTCATAACAGTTGATAAAGTAAGAGACGTTACCATGGTAGATTCAAATTGATCACTGTTCCTTTTCTATGCACAGAGACCGCGTTTATAGATCCTAATTACTCAACAAGTGTAAGCATTTTTCTGTTTCAGCAGTTATATACATACATTATACTTAATGAATGAATTAGTGTTATGAACAACATTAGTGTTGTTTAAATAACATCGAATCAATAATATCGATAGATTACAGCTGAATAACATCAATGTAAAATAAGCTGAATGTCAGAAAAATTAGGAAAGATAATATTACAAATTCATGAATTTATACTCTCTACTTAGGGCCAGGGCAGTAGTAGAGGCTAGACTTGCTTCTTTTGAACAAAGAGCACTGGTTGTTTGAGGTGAATTGCAATAACTTCTGCTGTTTGAAGCATGAGATGCTTCGATGATTTTGGCAATTCATTAGGCACCCGGTAGATGATAAAGAAGGCTTCTTCAACGCTGGCTGGCTTTGTGGCCGGTCGGTTTGCACCAGATGGTCCAATATCAAACTGTTAATAGTTTTCATTACACCTTTACTTATCCATACTGGGAGATGTTCTCGAGTGAGCACGAAAAACCAAGTTCCTAGAGCAACGGCCAATTTAACTCTCTCCACCACAAGCGCAGTTGAATTGGTAGATACAATTTGAAGTGGCTAGCTAGTCTAGATACTTCATATTTCAGTGGAGGTAGCACCATCGGTCGTGTAGAGAATAAGACGTGTAGTTCGCCAGCACATTTGTTTCCTGACAAATGTGAATGACTTGACAGGGACAGTATAATATCCATAGTCTATGAGACACACTGTTGGTGAACTCTTAGGTAGCCTGACTTCAACTTCCTTCAATCATTTGCGCATATACTCCACCATGCGAGTAGAAAATCGTCAATGTTTCTATGAAAACACTTGATTTGTTATACACAGCTAGAAGTGTGTCAAAAGTTGGCTACCAGTCTATCCAAGATTGGAAAGTTTTATTTCCCGATACGATTTTCAAATTAACAACAAGGGTTAATAAAGCAGGATTTAATGAGTCATCACATTTCCGTGGAACTCTTCCTCAGCTGAATATTTTACATACAGAAATATATATATATATATATATATATATATATATATACTAGTGGAAATACATTGGGAGTTATAAGACTGATGAGTAAGCAAAGGACATTTAATCAATCTTCCAAAATGACAGGTGTCAATATTCAGATAGATAAGACAAATGGTGGTTGGGGAGATTAAAATTAAGATAAGATGCACTGCACTTCGATTAAATCACTTAGATAAACAATTAGTCATAAGAGAAAGAACTTAGATGTATCAAGAATTTCGAACTGAGTAATATTAGTAGTAATAGTTATAATAATAATAATAATAATAATAATACATTAAGAAGACAAATTTCGCGAGATGATATCGTCATTTCGTAGTTTCTTTACAACCGCTTTACAACTAACATGGTTAACAATGATAAAATAAAGTTCATGAAAATTACTCAGTTAAATAAAAACAAAAGTACATACTAATGACCAATCATATTACATGCAGTCCAGGGTAGGCGAAGATTGAAGTCTATTGATTTTTGTACACACAGTTTAGGCTGTATGTGATTAATCCAAAGTGCTTCCATCACCTTCAATAACCTTGAATTAGAGTTATGTGAAATAATTGTGAAACAGTCATTAATATTGATTTTGTGACCAGACATTAATAAGTGTTTTGCAATGGATGATGCTGGATTTCTATTAAGATTAATCGCGTTAGGATTTTCGATATGATTTACTAGCCATTTTGGAACATGTTCTTTTCGACGACATTGGAACATTCTGTTAGTTCTACCTATATAGGTGTCACCGCAGCTGCAGGTGAACTTGTAGATACAGTTTGAAGTAGAGTCCACAGAATTTCGTCCTTTAATCGTAGGAACAGGGATCGAAAATGTTCGGCAAGTGAGAAAAAGAGATGCGGCGTAGAATGTGCGTTTGATGGCTGACCGAAGTCTTTGAGCTGTCAACTGCATAATCTGGTCGCCCTTGAATGGTAGATTAATAAAGATAGCTTTCTTTGGTACAGAAGCTGTCTTTTCAAGATGTGGTCTATCCTTACCGTGACAATTGATGAAGTTTTCTGGATAACCATTGGCTAGTAAAACTGAATGTATATGTCGAAGCTCATCCATCAATGTGTCACTCGTACATATTTTTCGAGCCCTTGAGAACAAACATTTCACCAGGGAACGTTTATACTGGATAGGAACAAAACTGGTAAAATGAAGATATTGTCCACTCCACGTCTGTTTACGAAAAATAGAGCGCTGAATCGTTCCATCATTTCTCCTAGTCATAGTAATATCCAGGAAACCGAGTTTGTTATTGGATTCTAGTTCGGAGGTCACTCGAATATTTGGATGGATATGATTAAATAGGGTGATAAAGTTTTCAATAGATTTGCTATTATTACTAATAATAAGAGTATCATCTACATAACGTTTGTACAGCATAAATTCTCCAAGCATACCTTGCATTTGTTTCTCTAATTTCGACATAAATATATCTGCTAACAGGGGCCCCAGAGGGCTACCCATTGCAACACCGTCGATTTGTTTGTATGCTTTTCCTTGGAATGTGAATCTAATATTTTCTGTACACATTAAGATGATGTCTTTGATGTACGTTACAGGAATAGGTAAGTTTATCCCGTTGCTTGTGATGTAGTCGCAAATGAAATCAACAGTTTCATGAAGGGGAACATTGGTGAATAAAGATTCTATGTCAATTGAACACATAACCTTTTCCTTAATGTTCAAGGTGTCTAGCATTTCTGTAAGATCAAATGAACTTTTTATAGAATGATTTGATAATGAGTCTCTTACAGGCGTAAGGACCTCTGTAATCCATTTGGCGATTTTATGGTAAGGAGAATTTGACATATCTAAGATGGGTCTCAGTGAGTTCCCAGTTTTGTGGATCTTCGGAAGGCCATAAAGCTGAGGAGTGTGTGACCCTTATTCAAATTTATCAAAGGGACTAATTGTTTTAATAATAATAATGCTGAAACGAGTTAAGATAATGCTGCTGGTAAAAGATATTTTTAAGTAAATCAGGAATAATAATAATAAGAGGTCAAATAAAGTGTTAATAATAATAATGATAATACGAACCAGCACCAATCACCGTCAACGGGAGAGATTTGACAGGGGTCACTTCTTGACTTCACTTATCTAGGAAGCATCATTTCAGGCAATCAGAACGCATGAAGATGTCAAAGCTGGGAGAATCGGAAAGATAAGTAAGATAAGCCTTCATCAACCTGAGAGCAGTT